TTTTCCAGCCTTTTCTCGGCATCACCATGGAAAAGTAAAGGTCTACCAAGCCCATGATATGATGTCCACAAACAAATCTTTATGCAGTTTCCAGATGCTTTGACTGTTCAGATTCTTCTTATTTCCTTACTTTCTGCCTTTTCTTACTGCAGTGGCTTAGAATTGCTTAAAATAATATGTGATTTTTCTTTATGTGGGTGCTGATCTTTTGCCATTTCAGTCATGTTGATTCCTCTGGGTATGGCTCCCATAGTAAACACCGCAAGCTAATAATGTGCCTGTGGTTTTCTTGCAGTACATGTAGGTTTTAATGATCCTTATCTCCTGTATTTCTTAAAAATACAAAATGTGTTAAGTACATAGCACCCTGTGGAACAATTACTAATGACATAAAATTATTTTGGTCTCACAGATGAAGGCTGTCTTGTTTTAAATGGAGATTAGACAGTATTTATTGACTTATAAAATATTTATAGGCTGCAGCTAAACCCCTGAAATTTGATAATTTCTTTTTAGTAGTGTCAGCATTTAATCTAGGTTACTGTTCCCCTTGTTGTTGACATTTGTGTCTTTTTTGCTGGACAACTTGTATGAGAAAACGTATATCATCAGGTAAAATTCACAGTCATGAAAAATGTCGATGATGCCTGTGCACAAATCTAGGAGTAATTTTTTGTCTTGAAAAACCTCAATTAATTAAATCCCAGTATACTCTTGTTTCTGTAATTAATATGTAAGACTTCATGTAGGCAAAGGTAAACTATTTTATTGAGCATTTTCAGTTCTGCATGAAATGATGCCATCTTTGTGGTTAATTTAATCGTGTTTCTTTTTGCAGTATATTTCATATTTAGTGGCCCTGACAGCTTGCACTTTTATGTGAACAACTGATTATTGCAGTCAGTCTTACATAATTAAATAGTATGAAACCTGACATATCAAATAGTGTGAACACTGATTTTCAGCTTCTGAAATAATTTCGATGTTGTTCGGTTTGAAGTGATAATAATTGCTTGTAAGATTATTAAACTAGTTAACTAAATATGTAGTTTTAGACTTATTTTTCGCTCTATATAAAAGCTTGTTTTGATTATTTTAATATTGCTTGTGGTGCTCAAGGGCAGATCCTGCTAACTGCCAAAGAGATGTTCTTTAGACTGAAATAGTAGTGGAAGTGAAGATATGGGGTATTTTAGAGGACTAGACCTTTAATTTGTTTGTCAACAATTACTTGCCTGTCTTTTAAATGTGTATATATCTTTGAAAACAAAATGTGGAAGAGTGAGGTTTGCTCCCCATTTGTGCATTTGTTTCATGACAGAGATGTTTTTTAGATGGTAGTCCATGTTAAAAAATGAGCCTTACTGCAGTGACAGACACAGACTTACTAGGCATTTTAATGTATGTAATTGAAGTGATGCTGCAAGTTTCTTGACTTAATAATAATGAAAAATAATAAAAAACATGCTTAAATCAATTTTGGGAAATCCGAAGTGCACAGCTGTTTTAAGTTCCTGCTGCTCTGTCTCTCATACCTTGTACAGTAAGCAATATATATCTCTATAACCATTTTTTTTCTAAGAGCTATAGTATGATGACAACTGCATGGCATAATTTTACTTACATGAATGTTCAGAATTTTGGACCCACAATCTGATAATTGAAATAAGGAGGCATTAAACTCAAAAGGAATACTCATGTCTTTTGAAAACATTCATATTTTGCAGCTTACGTAACATGGAACGTGAGTTACTACGGAACAACAATGAATCAGAATTGGATGCTGTTTTAGACCTGAGATGGAAACTTCTTCAAGCTAAAAAAGAAAATTTAGACTTGACCATTCAACACAATCAAGAAGTAAAGCCTTTTTTTAAAAATTTATTTGCTTTATTTAACTCTTGGAATAAAGTAATCTTGTTTCATTAAAACCATGCTCTCACGTGGTGGATCAAAAGCTGGAAAATAACAAGGAAGGTGTCACTGTACAGACCTCTCATACCTGCTCATAGGAGCTGTTAGCACTTCTACTGTCATTGTTAATAGTTAAAGGTGTGTGCAGGTAACTCGAGCACTTCACTACAGCAATACAGTGCAGAACAATCTTGTGCACTGCCAGCTCAATGTCGGGGTGGTTGGTTTGTTTGTTTGTTTTAATCCTGATAATTCCAAGGATCTGTTTTATAGAATGATCCCACAGTTGATGGGGCTGTGGGAAGATGAGGAGTTAACTGAAGCACAAGGGCAAGTCATTGTAGGAGAAGCAGACATCTCTTAATGAGATACATACTGAGATAATAAATGAACATGGAACTGTAACTAGTTTTTTTTGACTGGATTTAGGCAAAACCAAGATGAATAAGCATCTGCATAAACTGCCCCTAGCAGACTGCTATGAGCAGAATTGTTTCCTATGGTGGTAATAATACTTCTGCAGCAGCACAATTTAAGCCAGGTTATCAACTGCCAGATTTGCATTAGCAAGTATGGGAAGTGTGCCTAGTAGCAATAAACTGAAACTGATTACAACTAGTGCTGTACTCAGTGGGTTTTCTTATGTTTGCTAGTCAGAAAGCTGATATTCAACATAAAGAGAAGGGTAATCATTTTCTTGCTGCTACTTCATTTCAATACTAGTTTGCTACAGCAGCATCCAGTAAAACCTTTGTAATGTGGCTAAATTGTTTCCCATGAACGAAGTTCTTGTTAACAAGGATGTTGCTACTTTGTACACGTTCTGAAGAAATACACATCTTCTTGTGTTGAAATAGCTTGAATTTGATTTTCTGGATCTAGTTTTTGGTGGCAAAGATTAGATTATGTTTCTTAGTCTGTATAAGATCCCTTTTTGAAGCATTTCTGCTTGACTGCTGAACATTATTGGACTGAATTTTATGCTTATATGTGTACTTGGGAGTTATTAGATGTCTGATAGTAAAGTATCATAACATGACTGTTTTCCTGAGTGTTAAAGAAAGTTACCAGAAAGTTGTCTGTGGAATATAGTGTTTCTGTTGCTGCATTTTTTTCCTCCGAGGTGCAGGAATATGATAGTATTACAATGTTAATTTTCTGAAGGTAGTGTATTTTTGGAAAAACGGATATGTTTAAAGTGCTGTCCCAGTCTGATAAGACACGGGAGGGCTTGATCTATTCCCCTAGAGTGAATTAAAACACAAATGAGGTCAAATACCGTTAGTGAGTGAGATTTTATTATTGGTCACACAAGGGGGAGAGAAGGGGTGGTAGGAGAGTTAGAAACAGGATAGGAAAGTAAACAAGAGTTGAGTTGCCAGAGCAGAGCTAGTCTCCACTGTGGATCCAGCTGCGTTCTGATGTTCCACAGTCATCTCTTCTTCCATGGTGGGTGGACACACACACACACACACTCTGTATGTTGGTCCTTCTTTATGGGAATTGTGCCAAGGCATTGATTGGTCAGCTCCTCTTGAGTTACTGTGTCAGCCCGTAGGGACTCCCAGTGCAGGCACCTCACAAGTGTCCACAAGTTGTGGTCCAAGTGTGGCCGGAGATTTGTGGTACACAGTGGAGTTTTGTTATCTTGGCAGCTGGAGAATTTCGGTGGAATCTTAGTGGACAATAGTGCCTCATTATCTCGGCAGTTCAGAAAGGATCTCGATCATTAACTAGAGCATTTCCTTGGCCAGAGTCATCCTGTGGCTCAGCAAGCTTTGAGACAAATAAATAACACAGCCCCTGCCATACAAGAGGCCATCAAAGTCAGGCAGTGTCTGAAACAAGCTTTTCTTAAAGGTGTCCTACAGGTACATGAAATTCATCTGCGAAAAGGATCAGTTTGCATAAAAAAGTAGGAGTAGCAAAGTATGCATAAATGTGCAGTCGCAAGTCTATATTTCAAATAAAAGTGGAATAAGATGGTGATTGTGAATGCAGTTCAAAATACCTTTCAAAAATATTCCATAGGTGTGTTTCTCTAACGTGCTGCACATTTTCAAATGAACATTGTTACCAGTTTTCTGTAACAAATTTATTTTCTAGGTGTCCAACTATAAAAGCCAGATAATCAAATTACGGTCAGAATTTGAGAGAGGAGAGGCTCTTCGGCAAGGTCTGGAGTATGAATTGGCAGTTGCCAGAAAAGGTGCCCATCTGAAAATGTGTACTGCAGAAGAGGAGTTAAGTGATGCAAAATACAAACTTGTGGAACTGCAAGGTAAGTTTCAAAGAAGCAAAGATGGAATAAAAGGCTAAGTCAGTTCCAAGTCAGTAAGATGAATGAGAAGCAGGGACTTAATTAAACTTTCTAGTTACTGCTGTTTTTCTTGGATCTCATCTTTCCCATCTCCTATCCTTTTGAGCTTTTGAAAACTCATGAGTGTACAATACTCTTACTGTCTTATGTGTGAGTTAAAACTAACCTGGTGAGACTATCAACCCTTTTTTCCTCTTACCCCTTACCTTTTGTTATTCTTTCCTTCAGTGCTGTCTGTGCACAGAATTGTAATCATGGTGGCTGTCTCCACATCCTGGTTGTCTTTGTGTCCAGTAGTTCTTTCTTTTCCATTTCAGAAGAAAAAAAATCCATTCCTGTTCATTTGAGCTGTTTCCAGCAACTTTTTTCCAGAAGTTCTCATCATAGTGCTAATTTCTTTCATTTTTCAAATGTTTCAAGCTTTTCATTGTTCATGTCTCATTTATTTTCTACTTGTTGTCTTTGTTTTTATAGGTAATGTGTGTTGTGGTAGTAGTATGTGGAAGGGAAAAAGGGAAATTTTTTACCTAGACCTTTCTCTTCCTACTACTTCTATATTCAGAAACTCAGATTTCCTTAATATTCCTCAAACAGAGAGATAGTTCTCATTCTTACTAGTAAGTGAGGCACATTTTTAGTTACTTAAACTAGTATAATATCTTTTTAATCTAGGACAGGAGATGTATTTGTGAGTTTGATGAACCTTGATGTTCAGTGAAGAGTTTGGAGCACGGGTCTTGAAGATTTTAACCTTCCAAGAATGGAAGTAGACTCTGAATCTTGCAAGTACTTAGGTGTTTCTAAGATAATGGGAAAGCTGAACTTTCACTCCTTTGGAGAACACATGAAAAATAAAAAATTTTACGGATTGCAAACAGGAAGAAGGCATTTTTTTCCCCTTAGGAAATTTCTCTGTGATTGCAAGCTGAAGACTTGAACTGATAGTTTCTCACCTAGAGGAAAGTTGTGTTTCTTTCTGTGTGTGCTGACTTTACTGCTAGTTTCCTTGCCAGTTTAGAAGTGAGTAGTGTGTGCATATTTTAAAATCCTTTGTGATTCACTTCATCGTTTAGAAAGGTCATTGGCTGTTGTATTGGGCGCAGCTGGCAGGTGTTGGTTGTGGGTGCACCTTTGCAGAAGGACAGAGGTCTGGGTCTGCCCAGCTCCACAACAGGAAAGCCAACCCACCTCCAGAGACCAAACTGGCCATAAGAGGTGCCTCTGCAAAGGGTTGTAAATGCCAAGAGGAAGAGAAAGAGAAACAGCGGGAGAGACAGGGACAGAGCACCAGCCTGAGCAGGGCTTGAGGCCAATGCAGTGACCACCCCTGCAGGCATCAAGAGGCAGGGCTCAGAAAGGACTGGTGCTGATGGAGGAACTATAGCACAAAGACCCCAGTTTGCTGGGCTGTCTGTCACCTTCCTGAAGGGACTGGGGTAATGTGCGATGCGGGGACTGGAGAACTAAAAGAGGGTGGGAGAGGTTTGGTAGAGGCAAGGGGTGTTTTCTTAAATACGTGTGTGTGTTAACTTCAATACCAGAGTCAGTGTTTAGTATTGTGTTAACTGACAGTAAGTTCCATTGATTGAAATTTCTCTGTGACAAGTTTCTCTGTGTTTTTCTGTGACAAGTGCCGAAGAATCCAAATCATCATCGTGTTTATTTTGCACTTTATAATTTACTCCTTTTTTTTCACTGATCACTTGGAGCCTTTCTCACCTCATGTAGTGCTTTGATGTGACCCAACATAGCTCCTTACACCAAACTCCTCATTTGTGCCTTGCCCCCTTTAGAATTTCCTCCAAACGGATTTTCTGCTGTTCTCATTGAGGCTTCATTTTCAGCTGTCTGACAGTCCTTTCCCATCATTGTGTCCACTGATTCTCTGTTTTGTCTTCATGTGCCTCTTCTGTTCATTTCATCCTTCTCTGACTAGGAACAAATTTCAGAAAACTGGGAAGAATTTGAAATAAAAGTATGTTAGAAAGTGGTGGTCACTGAAATGCCAATGTAGCTGGTTGTATTCAGTAACATGAAAAGCTGATACAAAGTTCTTTCATCTGAAAACCAATTAGTAAAATAAAGCTAAGTTCCTATAAAACTGCTAGTAGGTAATGAAGCTTTTCATGTCATTTAAGCTTTCACAGAAGGGTATATACAGTGCTCCCCTACCTTGGGTTATTTGCTGGGCTGAAGATTGAAGTCTCTTGAGCAGCAGTAAGTTTCCTTGGAAAAGCTAAACATTTGCTTTCTAGCCCAGCCTGCCTCCCACAGTCCCTTTCATGAGCCAGGTGCCTGCCTTTACTGTCTCTTAAACCGACCTCAAATTTAGTTGATACAGGCTAATACTTATATAAAAAATGGCATTTGGGAATTAGCTGGCCAAATGTAGAAATCTGAAATTATGTCATCCAAGATGTCACTTGAAAGTTTTAACTCAATTTCTTATTCTTTTCCAAGAGGAAAAGAGTTTTAATTTGTAAAAATCTCTAAAACCTTCCTATGTCCTTGTGTGAGAGTTGCTGCAGGAACACAAAATTTGATAGCTGCTTTGTAGTGAAGATGCTGCTCTCCAGGAGTGGAAATGTTAATGCTCCAGTGTTAACACAGGGTATCACAATACACAGAAGAACTGATGATTGTTATACATTTTTTTCTGAACATGCTTTGAAGTGCTACTTTTCTTTTTCTTTTTTTTATCTGTAAACAACAGAACTCAATGAAAAACTTCAGCAGAAAGTAACAGAGACTGAGCAAACATTTCATAATGCTCAGCAGAAGTGGGAAGAAGAACAGGAAAGACTTGCAAGGGCGAAGGATGATATCAGCAGAATTTACAACAACGAATATGTTTTCCTTCTTAAGGAAAGAAATGAAGTGGAAAGGATTTTGCTGGTATGGTGTATTAATAGCTGGGAAGTTACATGAGATGATCACTGGAACTATTTTTGGCTCAAGTATGTAGTGGATTAAGGTCTTTCTGGTTTAGTTAAAAATCCCCCAAACAGCTAAATACTGCCGAATATTTCTGAGCAATGTAGCCTTATAAAGCTACTCCTGGTGTGTAACAGGCTTTTTTACTTTGATGAAATATCCTGTGGCTTTTTTTCATGGTAAACACCTAAACCAAGTTACCAGTGCACTGTGGTAGTGAAGCCCATTTGCACTGTCGTACAATGCTGAGTTAGTGGAATAGGCACGTCCAACACCTGCTGACTCCATTTGCCTGTTAATTCCCCCAGTCTGGCATCCACTAGCCTGTGAATATGAAAACAGTATGCGTAATATGAAGGCTACATAATTTCAGGGCACCTGACCAGTGATGACAGCATTTCCAGCTGTGCATTGTACATTATTCACTTCATACAACATATGAAAAATAAACATTGTTCGACATTCTTCCATTTGGTTAGATAAAAATCATTTCATACTATGACACGGTATTATATTCTGGTTTAGACTGTGGGTTTTTATTATTCAGATAATTCACTTTATTGTGTTTCCAGAAAAAAGTAATTTTCAAAGTTGAGTTACACTCAGTTGCATAAATCCCTCACATGTTAAATGTGTAAAAAGTAATAAAAGTATGTACTTTTTTTATATAGTCAAGCCATTGAAAACTGAAATGCTTTTCTAAGAAATCTAGTAGTATTATGCTGTGGAAGTGCTAAGCAAACATACCTGTGGGAACACAATTGCACAATTGTACTTCAATAACTTTTGTCTTAAAAAATTCAAAATTGACAAGCGAAGTATGTTGTATCTTAGGTATGTAATAATGCCATCTGAGTTAAAACCAGAATATTTAGCTACAGTTCTCCTTTTACTTTTCAGGTGTAGTGCAGGTGCTCTGTTAAGGCTGGTAGAAATTTACGTTATGTGTACAGAGAACAGATTGCTGCTAAGAGATTAACTTTTTTTGTTTTCCTGTTTTCTTTAGAGCTCCTTTTAAGATGTGACACAGATGTCTCAGTTAATCTGGGCATTGGTCAAGCAGTAAGAAATTAGTCCTGCTTTCTTCCCACCCATGCAGGTCCAGGCCTGGGACAGTGCAAAACAGTCATCCCAAATGGCACCAAACAATCTGTACCTGGTGCCTTGATAGCCAAGTGCTGACATCAAACCTACTTGTTGTGCTGTGTTACGGTGCCATCAGTCAGATTCCATGTGGCACCTGTAGAAGCAGCTTTTACAAAAGACAGGGCAGAGACAATCCCTTACTTATGTGTATTTCAAAAGTACTATGTGCTCACTCCTCAGCTGTTTGAAGGCAGGATCTGGTAGGGCAGGTGCAGTAATGAGACCTGAAGTAGAAATCAGGTAGTGTGTGGATACATAGTCTGTGCATGCACTGCAAAAGGGTCTGTACTGTGGTGTTTACCTTAGTGTCCAGAAGCCGTGATGATGGAAAAGGATCCCACTGAATTGAATTTTCTCTGATTGAAGGATAAAAAGGAAGTTCCTTCCTCTCCACAGCAGTTTTGTGGATATGTTGGAACGTGCTTTGAAGGAACAGTTGGGTGAATCATAAAGGAATATTAAAAAAAAAGAAAAAAAAGGAGAAAGACAAGGAAAAAAGGAAGGTTTGAGAGAAATACAAGTGAGTTCATTGACAGGTGATACCCTAAAGTCCATCTCAAACCAACACAAGTAAGTTTTCATTCAAAGTCAATTCTTAAAAAACTTGGGTTAGCTATAGGCCATAAGGAAACATAATTTTAGACACAATTTTCTTTTTTAAGTTGCCAGGTAAAGCAGGCTAAGACTGGAGCTTTGGCTATGAGTTCTGGCTTACAGTAGGCTAAATTAAGTTGAGGAGGCTTTGGAATGGACTTGTCTTCATTTGTATATAGTGCTTTGTAGAAGCCACATTCATTGAATTTAATACTATATGAAAAAAACCAATGTTTTAAAAAGTGTACTATACTCTCTGAAGTGATGTTTGTCCTCAGATCAAAAGGAGCAGTGGATTGCTTGTGTCATTGTGTTCTGTCAATGGATGTATATTCAGAAGTAAGGTGATTTATAGAGACAGATGCTTGTTTGGTAAATGTATTAAAGCCATAAAATTGTTCACTCCCAAGGTAAATGTGATTCACCACAGGATGTCAACTCCTGACCTACTGTGAAGAGTAAAATTTTCAGTGTCAGTTCAATTTCAATAGAAAATAGTTCGATTTTCCGACTTTGTTTTGGTACCTATTCCCCTGACCATTATTCTAATTATAGTTACAGATAGTTATAAAATTCCAGGAAATAAAAAATACATGATTGTTAAATCTGGACTTGACTACCTTGGTTGTTGTTTGAAAGCTAATTGATTTAAACTTGGCAGATAAATGTCAGAAGGATCTGGGTTTCCTCAAATGTGTTCCAGTCTTTTGTGTTGTGTATTTACAGTCTTGTTTAAAATCTTTAGTTATTCTGAGTTATGAAATGAAAGCTAAATATTGTAGATTTAACTGTGGTCTTAGAATGTACGCAGAAGGCAGATCCTAAGTGCTGTGGCAAATCCTGGTCAGCAAAGCTGCACCTCATGAACTGTGAGTCTGAACTTGGTTATGAAAATGCTTAGGTAGGCATGGAAATGGAGTCAGTTTAACCTCTTAAAATGTATCTCCGTGATAGGGAGGAAAAGCAATCCTCTCTGCTTTCTATCAGGTTTGTATTGTATTCTGTTGAGTGTGCATAGAATGCTGTCTGGGACAGTATAAACGATGTTGGCGTTCAATAGTAAGTGCAATAGCATCATCTTGTGGTTAGTCAGAATATAACACTCCTTTACAGAAACGTTGGGTTTTTCCTTACTCCGTTTGTGAAATTGTGTTGTTAATACACAGTTTGTAAAGAACCCAAACCAACAGCTGTGTTTTGCATAAGCAGATATGCATAGGAAGTGCGTAGGTGACATACATACATACATACATATATATATATGGTGGTATTTTACAGGGTGAAGTATGTTTCTCTTTGAACATCTAAGTGCAGGTGTCTCCTGGGATAGTCCAACACCGTCATACCACATCTGAAAAGTTCAGAGATTTCAAGATTCTGAAATCCTACAAGTCATGCTGACTTGTTTAACAAGCTTGATGTATTCATGTCAGTTTTAGTCTGCTAATTTTAGATACATTTCCAGTATAAAATTTTCCAGCAAACTATGCATTACTTATTTCATGTGCACTTTTCCTAGCTCAGTTCTGTTAATATGTTGAAGATACACCTGAAGAGATTACTATTTCTGTATCTTCCCAATATGGTGAGAGTGGGAGCAGTTGTATATTTTAGTAAAAATGGTTATAAATTTATTTTTGCATGCTGATGTGAAGAAATCTCTTCATTGTCTTGATATTGCAGGCAAAGTTAGAGGATTAGCTTAACTTTAATCCATATTCGGGTAGACTATTTTTGCAATATTTTGATTTACTGAGGTTCCCATTTTTTAATTCACGTGTTTCATATGCGGACTCCTTGTTACCTTTTCAGAGAGTGCAAAATAATGATGGCATAGTGCCTGCACATGAAAAGAGAGAGAAAATAAACTTAATTTTTTCAGTTAGTAGTTGGTAACATTTAGCACTAAGTGTTAATAAGGGAGTTGTGATTCTCTTATTGTCATGTTTGAGGCCAAAACCTTTGGCTTTCAGTCTGAGAAACTTCTAAAATTTGTTTTCCAAACTTTGCAAAGGACTCATATTTCTTTGATCTTCATGTATAAACATGGTTCTGTCAAGCTTCAGTCTTCCAAAGAATCATTCTTTATGAATAATGCATTTTATTCTCCTCCCTGCTCTGAAGATGCCTTATGATTAGTAATTTCCAGGAACAAGATGATGGGATGTAAGAGTAATAGCAGAATTTACAGACCAGCTGGGGTTTTTTTCACAAGATGTCTCTAGCCATGATAAACGATAGAAATAAATGAACAGTAGGATTTATTGTAATCTTCTTGTGTTTTGCACAGAAAGTAATTTTAACAAATTGGCTCTCCAAAGGTCCTCCGGCTAAGTCACTGGATTTATAGCTTGTTTCTGATACTTGTTATGGAAAACTTACTCCTCTCTACAAGGCGAAAGCTATTCTTTTTGAGGCTTCTGGGATCTCCAGCTTAAATATGTGCTAGACTATTGGGGGTTCATTATTTGGCTACTTTCCTCTGAGTCTGGTGTGGCGTGAATGAGGATTTTATAGCAGTGACTCCACAGAAATGCTGAGTCCTCTAGTGTTAGTAATTGCAGCACCCTGTAGCTTGGTTCAACTTCTGAAAGCAGAAATTGAGGTGGGGAACAGCTTAGTTATTTTATTCTAGCAAGAACTTCATAGTTCATGTAGATACATTTTTAAGCAGTTCAGTTTCTAGGGAGAGAAATCCTCAGAACAGGAGAAACTGGGTAACTTTCATTAAAGGTCTGAGTTGGTTTAAAGTTCTAACAGTTAAAATAAGAACAAAATAGAACTTCTGTCCCTATGTATCATTTCATCAAATGCACTTAACTGTTTCCTTCTCCATCATTGCCATTTTGCTGGGAGAGAGAAGAGACTGGAAGAGCATCCTTGTACTCTTCTAGAGAAGGATTTCCGGTGGAGAATTGGCTCTTGATTTTAGTATCACCACAGAAGGTCATGCTCATAGTGAGTTTTGAGCCAACTGATAATACCTGGTGGTGAATGAAGAGCGTGTCTGCTGTGGGGGAAATGGTTCTGTTGGCATGTGCTGACATACTTGATTTTACTAACCTGTACTGATGCCATTGCCATTTTTCTTTTGAACTCTCTACTGTAATACTTTATCTGACAAAAAAGTATCTCTTAATGCTTTATTTTTCTTTTCTAGGAGCTGAATAATGAAGTGCAAAATATGCGCCAGAAATTGAGAGAGGTGGAGGTGGAACACACTGGCTGTGGTGAGGTGCTGAGATGCCAGGCCAATGAACTTAAATGCAGTGCTGAACGAGAGAAGCAGCTTAACAAGGAACTTGAAGTAAGGCTTTTTGACTATTGCTGTTAGTCTTAACAAGCACTGATACCAAACAATTCTATTTTTCATGGATAGAACCTCCCAGTTAGGCTATGAATTCTACCTACTTGATGAACAAAATCTTGAACATCTGTTTAGCAGAAAAGGCTGAACAGGTGAATGCTACTTACACCATGAGCCCAACATGAGACTGGTATTTGAAAAGGTTTATATAAGTGTGAAAGCAAGGCTAACTTTACTTTAGGAAATCTGTACATTTTCCCTAACCTCTTAATTAATATCTTCTTATCTTTTTGGTTTATTTGATTTGTGGTGGAGAATCTGCTGGAGCTGAGAGAATTACCAGGTGTTGCAATAGGTGAGGGAATAGCATACTGGAAGACCACAGTCGTGTTGTGGCAGCTGCTTCCTGTCTAGAGTTAATAGGTAGTTTTAGTTTTCCTGTCTGTTGAGTGACACCCATTGTTGAGGAGTTCAAGTCTTTGAGAATAATAGTTTGCATATATGTTCCTTATACTAAGGAGCTAGTTCCCTCCTAGGTTTGTCCACCAATAGACATTTTGTTTGTCCACTGATAGACTTTGTGGTAACTCTGAAATCAATATGTACACTCTGGACCAAGATGTTCTTGGTAGAACATTTGTCATTGAAGAAAAGCACAGTGACTGGACAGTTCTTTATCTGATAAATGTTTTCTACCAAGGGTGTATTTAAATATTTTGTGCAGTGAATTTTAAAGAACTGTCACTTGCAGAATATTGGGAGCCCTTAAAGGAGCAAGTGACAAAGTTTTCAGTGGTGTTTGTTTTCTGTTGATTTCCCTTAAAGGCAAAAGAAGTGTTTAAAGCATGGATTTCTAGGTAGGGAGAGCCCTGCATTAAAGATGAAGTACAAAAGAAAATTCCTACAGGGAAGATCAAAGCTCATCAACTAAAAACACTGGCTTATTGACCAACAGCATAGACCTTTGTGCCCTCAAAGAGTTCTATAGGAAATCTATTGTCAGGTATTGTGAGCTGCACATATTGGCCTAGGTGAAATTGCCTTCAGTTGGAAAGTGCTGCATACTGTGGAGTTCCAATAGTTCTTTGAAAAAAACCAAAGATTTTTGCTTGCAAGTGCTTCAATAAAGATTCTTCTTGTGACTGCATGGCTTTTAGTATACTAGCATAGGATTCATGAGCTGAAAGGAGGAGAAGCAGGGCAGCAAAGTGTCTCTCTAAATATTTTGATTGAATGTACTCACCCTCTGTAAACTTGAAAAGGAAGGACTCAGTTTTTTGAAAATGTGCAGCTGCTACACCCTGAAGATGGTCTTATCAGGAAATGTAATCTATTAACCACAATCAGATAAGATATTTTTTTTGCTTCTCAATTTTTGTTAACTTATTTTAACTTTCTGAATCTCTTAATCATGTTGCGAGAATACAACATATTCAGTCTACAGAAAAATGAATCTTGTGCTACTTGTTTGAAGTATAGCTATTTAAGCAGTGATTAAGGAAAAGTGTGTGATGAAGCCCCTTGTATTTGAAAGTTTAAGCAAATTAGCACCCGTCTGTGAATCAAAAGAAAAGACTAGGTTAGACTTCAATACATACCCTTTAGTCAGCTTGCATCTTGCTTTACCATCTCAAAAGTAAATGGCAGTGTGTAACTGTCTGAAAGGGCCTGCAGTAATAACTTTGCAGATGATGACTCAGCCACTTCCCTGGGCACCCTGTTTCAATGCTTACAACCCTTTTCCTTTTTCGTGCTTTTAGCCTCTTCTCCAGGCTAAACCCCCCTAGCTCCCTCAGCCACTCCTCATATGATTAGTGCTCCAGACACTTCACCAGCTTTATTGCTCTTCTCTGGGTATGTTCCATCACATCAATGTCCTTCTTGTCATGGGGAGCCCAAAAACTGGACACAGGATTTGAGGTGTGGCCTCACCAGTGCTAAGAACAGTGAGATGGAATTTTTAGCTTATAGATGGAAATTTGGGGGTTGTGGGAAGGTAGGTGTAGGAGACCTGTCTTCAATTTCCATGCAGAATACCTCATGTTAATGGGCATTTGGTTAGAAAATATGTACTTCAGTTCTTGATGATGACAGCAAACTTCTTAAGGTGATTTGTGTGGAGATTGTAATTCTACTTAAAAACCAGTCTTAAAATCTTTTGTTGTACAGTATTTCATATGCAATGAGGATGAACTTTCTTTGGAGTTCACAAAACTGTTCTTTTACTACCCTCTGCTGGATGTAAGGGAGAAATCCATGGGAGAATGCTTGGGTTTTGAAAGCAAATATGAAGTTTAGAATCCAACAGACTGTATTATAAAGAAAGGAATGTGAAAAATGTCTGTCTGGCCTCTGTTTGGTTTTTTCCCCTTTATTTTTTTCTGAATATTAGTCTGGATTTATCCTCCAGTCATTATTCTGATCATGGCCTAATAGAGGAAATTTCGTGAGTTTGGAGTTAGAAATGAAAAGAAAAAATAATGGCAAGTTTCTGTGGACTGTTTGGTTGAAAGATAGTTGTTGGTGTGCTGTCTAATCAGGTAGTTTTCCAGTTTGCAGTGATACCAATGTGCTGTGCCATTGCATGTACATGGAGTCCTTCTGAAACAGAAAATACATGGTACCAGAAAAACTGAGATTGAGAACCTTAAATATCATTCTGTCTCTTTTAGCCTAAGACTCAGTAGCCAAAGAAATTATTGATCTATTTCTATTGAACTCACCAAGATACTACTATTTATGATAATCCATTTCCTGGAACTAGGGTCTTTTATTTTAGTCCTTAGCTCCATTGCTGATGTTGATCCTTGGAAATTATAGAGCAATTTTTTATATAAAGACAGTGTTTCTGTCCAGTGAAAAACCTGGGTGGAAAAGTGGTTTTGCAATGAGAATGTGGATTTTACTGCAAGAAACAGAATTATTAGTTCGTAAATTTCAAACTCTTCGCCTTGTTCACAGAAATATAGTGATTTTTCTGTTGCTCATGTTATCTGTTTGAGGCTGCCAACTCTTAGTAAGCTGAAGCTCAAGGTCTCTCAAAGTTTTTAAGTCTTTCTCATGAGGCCTGAAAAATATTCTACAACTTGTTCCATTTCATTTCTGAGACTGAGTGTGCTGTCATATTTCTGAGACTTAGTTACCAGTTAAAGACCATTTCCTTAGCTTTCACGTTCCTGTTTCTGCTCCCTGCCTTCTGTAAGTATATTGACATCTTTGTGTCCTGCGAAATACATTACCTTGTATTAATTTGGTAATGCTGCTATGGTGGGGAGATAACTGCAAAGAGGACGTGGGTGATGGTCCATCTCTGTATATGCAGGTGGTATATGTATATGTGATGCTTTAAGGCTGTGGGTGTATTTCTCACTATATCTAAGTGAAATGTAGGTATCAGCTAAAAACAAACCTAACCCCCCCAAAACCTGCAGGCCTACTTTTTTTTCCCCCCCTTTCCTTGTTGCTATAATTTCAGCATAAGCTGCATTGTTAGGTAAGTTATAGTTCTCATAAGAAAGACTTGCAAAATCTCCAACCAGTGTGAGAGAGGACACATTTCTCAGTCAGTTGATAGTACTGCTGGTTCAACTTTAAACTACTGTTTGTCTTGTATGACTGTGTACTTCCTAGTCTTCTGCTGTCTAGTGTCTCCACAATGCATGGCTAACATTTGGAATTCTAGCTGCTGTGACTGTCATATATTACCTAGTACATACTTACTATGTAGTATGCTTATATATGTGTACATATATGTAGTATATAATATGTATAAATATGTAATACTACATACTTAGAGGGTTCTAAGCACTGCAGTTTTTATAATGGTAGTTCTGTGGTGGCTCCAAAGTTCATATTTTTCCAGTGACAAGCTCACTGACATAATGGTTGTGCATTAATTGTGCAGAGCGTTTGACACTGTCCCACACAACTTCCTTGTTTCTAAAGTGAAGAGATAGGGGTTTGATGGATGGAACACTTGGTAGATAAGGAATTGGCTGTATGGTTGCCCTCAAAGGGTTGCAGTCAACAGCTCCGTGTCCAAACGGAGACTAGTGATGAGTGGTGTTCATCAGGGGTTGGTGTTAGGAGCAACTCTGTTTGTTGGTGATACAGTCAGTAGGATTGAGTGCACCCTCAGCAAGTTCACTGGCAACACCAAGCTGTGTGGTGTGATCGCCACGCTGGAGGGAAGGGATGCCATCCAGCAGAACCTTGACTGGCTTGAGAGGTGGGTCTGTGTGAACCTCATGAAGTTCCGCAAGGCGACATGCACCTGGGTCAGGGAAATCTCGGACACAAATATAGGCTGGGAGGAGAATGGATTGAGAGCAGCTCTGGGGAGAAAGACTCAGGGGTGTTGGTTGATGAGAAGCTCAACATGATCCAGCAATGGGCACTTGCAGCATAGAAGCCCAACCCTATCTTGAGGTGCATCAAAATCAGAGTGGCCAGCAGGTTGAGAGAGGTGATTTTGCCCCTCTACTCTGCTTGTTTGAGACTGCACCTGGAGTGCTGCATCCCTCTCTGGGGCCCCCAACATAAGAAGCACATGGACCTGTAGGAGCAAGTCCAGAGAAGAGGAAGCCACAAAGATGATCACAGGGCTGAAGCACCTTTACCATGAAGATAAGCTGAGAGAACTGGGGCTGTTTAGCCTGGAAAAGAGATGGCTCTGGAGCCACCTTATAGCAGTTTTACAGTTACAAAAGGAGCCTACAAGAAGGATGGAGAGAGACTTTTTGCAAGAGCATATAGTGACAGGACAAAGGGGAATGGATTCAAACTGACAGAGAGTAGGTTTAGATTAGATATTTGGAAAAAAATTCTTTACTGTGAGGGTGACATTATGAAGAATTTCTTTACTGTGAGGGTGGTGAGGCACCGGAACAGGTTGCTCATAGAAGTTGTAGATGCCCCATCCCTGGCAGTGTTTAAAGCCAGGCTGGATGGGGCTTGGTGCCGTGTGGTCTAATGGAAGGTGATCTGTAAGGTCATTTCCC